CCAACAGAATGAATGTAAACTAAACATGACAGCAATATAGGAGCGAAATCTTGAATATAAACTAAACAGTATGGTTGGGAGGTTTGAGTTTTGAGTCAGCCGACGATGGTAAATGGAGATGGAGAGAGGGGTTGATTCATGTTGGTTTAAGGTGGCAAAGGATAGTGTTGGTTGTTGTTTCGTAAGGATGCAGGCAGTGGAATATGGCCGAACAAGGAGGTGGTGAAACGGAGGGAGTATGTACGAGAAAGAAGAAGATAACTCTTCTTCAGATTTTTTTCATCTTTCATTTTTAATTGGATCTGATCTTTGGATTGGTTGAGAGAGAGAGAGAGAGGAAAATAGATTGAGGTTGTGCTCTTTGATTGGTTTCTCTCCATACAGCCTTCTATTTATTTGTGACCGACCAAAATACCCATCTTGTCGTTTCTTTGATTTAAAATCACAAATAAACGAAAAACTAAAAGAAGAAGATGGTAGTGTAGAAAGGCTGTTAGAATGACATCTCATCAGAAATGGAATAATAAAATAGGATTTGAAATTTAGTACAATGAAATTATTAATGAAATATTGATCATATTTTTTGTTTAACAAATGCATTGAGCCTGCCATGTAGAGTTATCATGTTCCAGAATTTGCAGTTGTTATGTGATAAGATTATGTGTATGTTTGTCTTGCATACAATTTGGCTAATATATAAATATTATGTTGAATAATTGACAACTTGTTAATCTGACTAAGTGGAGATGTACTGTCTTTGTATCCTTCTACACTTGGTGTGAGAAAATTTTAGATTTTTTGAACATTTTACATTCTTATAAAAAGAAAATAAAAGAAAACTGCCATATAAAAAATAATAAATAAATAAATAAATTATAAGAGAGATGTCATAAAAATAATTTAAAAAATAATAATTAAAAAGTATAAAAAAAAAGTCCAATGGATTTTTAAAAAATATTTATATATTTCACCTAGGATTAATATAAATGTCACTAAAAAATATTTATATATTTCACCTAGGATTAATTTAAAAAACTAATTTTGCCAAAGCAGTTGGCATAGAAACACCAGCTACACTAGACGCCCTTCTCCTCAAATATCAGGCGTACATCCAATACGAGAAGAAAGTGACCGCAAATTATGCTCAGCATCACAGTAGAAATGACCTCACCAGCCTCCCCGACGAGAGGAGCGCATAAACAAACCATGTTCCCCGTGAACATAACCGCTCAGCAGGCACATGTTCTCCGCAAACACAACTGTCGAGCAGGCACATGTTCCCCACAAACACAACTGCTCAGCAGGCATATGTTCCCCACGAACACAACTACTCCAACCTAGTGGACATATGTTCCCCTCGAACACAACTGTCGAGCAGGCATATGTTCCCCGCAAACACTCCAACCTAGCGGACATATGTTCCCCTCGAACACAACTTCTGAGCAGACATCCTGTCGAATCTCGCGAGCACAAAGAAGAAAGACGGATCAAGTTCGTCATCCAAGAGATGCTATCGTGTCCGAGCAAAAACGGAAATGGGGAATACTATCTCGAAAACCTGCACAAGGAACAACTTGCTCAATCTTGGAACACCAAAAAGCTAAGGCAATATTACAGTTAAGACACTGTTACAGTCGGTGTGTCTCGTCAAAAAAACGAACACAGTTTTCCCGATCACACGTGCATGCCCGGGTACAAGCATTACACTCCAAATTAAACAAAGAGGCAAGTCTCCACTCTTTTAACGAGCAGATTCTTAGTCCGACGTGGAAAACTCAAACAAGCTCCACCGTTGTCGTACCACGATGGCAAAACACCTAGCTCGAGATGGAAAATTCACGCTGCCGAGGTCTGGCCCTAAAAAGAGACCTAAGTTTCGGCCCATGCCAGGTGATCACCCTTGTCGTTCAACCAGTCACCCACACTGGCAAGCTCGAATATTAACGAGCAAACCCCTGAAACTCTTGATCAAAATAAAATGTCTCAGGCAGACAAGCATATAAACATGCATAAACCTAATAAATAACAATATACCACGTACGAGCATGTTCTCATAAAGATCACAAAACATCCTCATTGCGAACAACAAGCGCCAATAGCGCGTTTTCCTCCTCGACGCACGGGATGACTCTAAGTTATTACTCTTATGCCTAGAAACAATGACTAGGGGGACTACTGTTCTGGACTGGCTCAACGGTTAGAATTGGCTCAATCCGCTTTTGCCCTTGGTACGGCCCAACATTCTGGTCGACCACGCCCCTGAGCACACGACCAGTTATGCCCGACACACACGCCTGACCCAATCAACAGTTGTCTCCTGTCAGCCCGACACAAGTCGAGCAGACAACCAGAACTCGTCTGAAACGACCATCTTCCTGTAACCCACCTCCTCCTCGAATCCAATGGCTAGTTACGTGCATACTTATCCATTTTGAGCGAGTTCTAGCAGTTACCTATTTTTGCGGACCCTCATATCTAGGCCCAAAAGTATGGACCAATGGCCAAGCGTCGGAGATATTATATAAACCCTCACACATGTGAGGGCCAGGTATCGAATATCTATTATTCATCACTAAAACCCTAACACTTTGTTTGTATCTCTTTTTCTCCCACACTTACTTAATCGTCGGAGTGCCATGCATCTACAACCCCTTTTTTTCCTCCTAGAAATTCTAGCCCGATAGAAGATCATCATCCGACCACCTCGCAGATTCTGATCAACCGGTAAGATCAAGTATGTGTAGCCAATTCTTAGGTAAATTAGAGAAGTCCAGACAAGGTTTTTGTAATGAGAGCAATCTAAGATTTATTTACAAGAATTAATCTTTTAAAGGACAACCTACAAGAATTAATCTTTTAAGTTGGTGTGAACTAGGATTAGACATAATAGTGTAATTTCCTTTTTGTGAGTTTTTCTTTTTCTTCTTCTTGGAGGAAACCACTTTAAACCCATCATCATGTTCATACGTATGTTCCCTATCATCTTCCACCTCATCTATATTGGCCTAAGAGGTTTTCAAAAATTCTTGCAATATGCATGACTCAACAAATTCTAAAGTTTCAAGTACATTATGCTTTACACCATGCTTTGTAGTCCATAAATTCGAACTCAAAGCTAATTGAGTTATCTAAATGTTCAATAATTGAATTACTGGATAAGCAATAGTAGAAGGATAAAGCACACCCTTCACCAAACCACTTATTTCTCTAAAGTGGTTGTTCAAATTGTCAGCAATATTTTCATTAGTATTTACCGCCACATTACAAGCCCCCTTTAATTAATCCTTAATAGGTTAATAAAACTTTTTAATACCGACATTTTGGTTAGGCTTATCATTGTTATTCTTAACACCATTCGTTCTCATACAAGTATCAATTGAATGTCCAATGCAGCTGTAATTATTGTAGAAGAAAAAACCAACTCTTTCCACCAGAATTTTGTATCTTAGCTCTTTGGCAAGCTCCAAATCAGCAAGAACCCTTACATAATGACCAAACACCTTTTCGAAAGAAAGCTTATTTAAGGCAAAGTTTGTGCATATATGTGTGCCTATACTAGGGGCAAATACTGTGGATTCTCACCCTAACTTGAATTGATGTTTGACTGGGAATAGATGGAACGATATCTAGGATCCAACAGAAGAGTTTGAGAAAAACATGATTAGTGTTCCATAAACTAACTATTCTCACACAACACACATATTCGAGAGATGGGAAGGAGAACTTGAAGTATCATTTATCCAAGGAAGTGATCCCCCATTTTCCAATAGAGGTCCAAAGGGATGATAACTTGAGTTGCAAGTTACCAACAATGAGAGGAAATCCCTTAGAACATATAACCATATTATAAATGTTATGTTTAAAGGCTTCCAAGCCAAAAAAAAAAGTATTTCTTTTCCGAAATCTAAATCGCAAGTCTATCTCCTTTCACACAAGTCATATGGAGTTAATTTAGAGAAATGATACGGATATTGTTAAATGCCTCAACAAAGGATCGCCTTTTTAGGCTTTACGGGTTTTTTGGGATCAACTTTCAAAGGGGACTTCGAAATGGTTTCAACGAAAAGCATAGAAACCTTAAACAGACCATGAGAGAGAAAAATGATTAATAGTTCCACCGAGTCAATAGTAAATAAACAAATTACAGTTTCAACTCCAAAATATTTTTTTCTTCCTTCAAATTGATAATTCTCTTAGAACACATTAGTATTTATCTTTATATAATTAGAAATTTGTGTCATTTTATCTAAACTAAACCATTTTGACAGCTCTAATTCTAACTTATGGTATCGCTTTCAATCTTTATATTGAATCAGATAAAATTACCGATTCAAGCATATTCACATTAGACCGGTATTTTGTTCAATTAGATCAAAATGATTTTTTTTTGTTAACTTTCCTTTTGCTCTCAGTTTAATTTTCATGTATCATACAATAATTCACCAAAACTAAAAAATAATTATCTCAAGCAGATGGTCAAAAAAGAAGAAAGCATGAATTTATATTATAAAACATAGAACCTTCAAATCATCATAGATTTATTTAGAGACAAAATAAAACTTCAAAGAAATAATAACAAAAAGTATCAATATTAACAAAAAGGATGATATTTTTTGCATCAAATAAGAAGAATGGGTTAGAAGTAGGCTTGCACCAAAACTCAAATAAAACTTACTATTTCCTTATTAGCCTAAATAAAATAAGTGTAATATATCATACAATTGAGAACAAAATATTAAATATATAAAAAAATTGCACACATTGTATGTACACATTCAAATTATATATATTACTTTAGCCTTACTTTATATATCTATATCCATCTGTAACGCATCACTTAACTTCCCTCCACAAGGTTTTCAAATTAAAACCACCTCAGTATTGTTTATAGTTGATGTACCATATAACCAAAAACATTGAAAAAGATAGAGAAACATAACCATTCTCAATTATTTTACCCACCATTCTCTCTTAAAAAAAGCACCAACCATTCATCAACCATGCCTACAATTTCGAGAAGAAAAACAAAGCATGCCAAGAGAAAAACCAAACCTTTGCATCTGCCCAACCAACATTCTTCAGCTACTGTTCAACTTCAAACAAAAGGTGTTAATCACTCTCTATGCTATCTACCTGTCTCACCCTCTTTTTCGTTGTTTTTTGTGTTTGGTTTATTGCATCCTTTGTTTGGTATCCTATGTTTTCAATAGTTTTCACTTTCCTTTCATACCCTTGTTCTTTTTCTTTTTTTTCTTCCAATGACAAATTGGTAAGGAAATAATAGATCTTTGACATATATGGTATATATCTCTATGTTCATCTGCAGGTCCATTTGTATCTGAAAATCATAGCGAAATGGAGGGAAATTTTAATGGAACGTTGCATGACATGCGAAAAGTTGAAGAAGAATCGTCAAGTGAAGATAAAGAGGTGGCTGTTGAAGTATTTGATGATGATGTTTATGATGGAAAATCCAAGTCTGTCAGCGATGAACATGTTGAGTCATGCAAGGTGGTGGAAGAGGAGGATGTTTCGGAAACGGTTGGTGAGTCTCTTGAATCGAGTGATGCGATAGAAGCTAATCGTGTTGAGAATATTGAGGACTCGGAAACTGTTGAGTTGGAATTTAAGGAAGAGAATAAGGAAGAGAAAGGAGAAGATGATGATGTGGTGGAGGAAACTGAATTGGCTACTTCGAATGAGAATAATGAAGGATTGAGGGAAAGTGAAGTGGTTGAAACGGTTAGAGATGTGACGGTTGGTGAAGATGAGAATGTTTTGTCTTCTTTGCCTTCGTTGGATGTGGTTTCGGTTTCGAGGGAATCTGATGATGTTGTTGAAAAGGTTGTTTCTCCAAAGGGAATTGAGGAACCATTGGTGAAATCTACTTATGAGAAAGATGAGGAGCAATTAGATATTCAAGAGTCATCAGCTTATGAAAGTGCTAAGGAGTCTTTTCAACCATCTTCAAATGCTCATGGTGTCAATGAACAAGAAGAGTTGTCGGCTTATGAAAGTGCTAAGGAGTCTTTTCTACCATTTTCAAATGTTCCTGATTCTGATAACAATAGTTTCAATGAACAAGACAGGGTTGAAGAATGTAGAGGCATTGAAAATCAAGGGGTAATTCATACTTTTAACACAAGTTTTATAGACGTTTTAGATTGTACTTAATATGCTACGTAGCACCGACAACACGCATTCAATTAATTTATCTTTTATAACTTCTACCTGTGTCTGTGTTTTAAGTTTTAAGTGTTTGTTATAAAGTTTTGAGGTATGTATAATGATCCTTCTTCTTTCTTTTGTGATAGAGCATTTTTTCAGTGACTCAAAGGCAGCACACCTCATGGAAGAATTGTTGTGGACTCTTTGAAATGCTGAGGCATGGTGATAGTAATTCAAGGTGAGTAAACCTTAAATATCTTAAATCTTAATTAAAAATATTATCAGTATATTTGATGTTGCGTGTTTTAATTACTATTTTTTGATAATTGGCGGAGACTATAGTTTTGTTTACCCTTTCAAAGATTCTAAAATCTGTGAGTAAACCATAGTGTTAAATACTAAGTTGCAGTAAACTATAAATGTTAGATACTATCACTATCGTCTTAAGCTTTTGGAATCCTTGTTTAGATTAGTATCGGTTCAACTGAGTCAAAACAACTATAAACTCTATTTAATTGTGGTTTTCAACTGAGTCAAAACAACTATAAACTCTATTTAATTGTGATTTAAACCACTTTTGAATCCTTGTTCAGATTAGTATCGGTTCAACAACTATAAACTCTATTTAATTGTGGTTTTCAACTGAGTTAAAACAACTATAAACTCTATTTAATTGTGGTTTTCAACTGAGTTAAAACAACTATAAACTCTATTTAATTGTGGTTTAAACCACTTTTGAATCCTTGTTTAGATTAGTATCGGTTCAACTGAATCAAAACAACTATAAACTCTATTTAATTGTGGTTTAAACCGCTATGTAACTGTGGTTTAAACGGTGACAAGTCTATTATAAAGTACTGTTTAGTCGCATTTTAACCATGACAAATTTAAAACTTTATGCGATAACTCATCTTATAAACCGTCAAAGACACAGTTCCAATACACTCACTGTTTTATCAGTAACATATACTTTAAAAAGATGCTTGTGAATTATTTTTGTTTAATTTGTTTTTTTTCTTTCAATATTATAGTTGAGAGCTTCACAGGAGGTTGTTGGTTCTTGCGCTAAGGTTGATTGAGGCACTGCAACTCACATGGTGTGATGACACCCTTTTATAGCAGAGTACTAGTATTTGTTTTTATATGTAAACGTTTATTCTGAGGCATGTTATTTTATGTTTTCTTGTTGGCTTTATTGTTTGATTTGCTTCCAGAGCGGTGAGATTGTCCCATTCAGATTTAAGTTTTCATATTGTAAACTTTCATAAACCTCGAGTTATAGTCCAAAATTACTTTACAGAAGCACATTATATATGTTTTTCTACGCTACAAAATGGAGAGACGCTACAAAATGGAGAGGAACATGGTTGACCTACATGCTACTGTCATAAAAACCATATTCAAATTGGAATAGCATTTGTGTAGTTATTCAATCTCAGCCGTCCAGAGCTTTAATATCTGAACTATACAAAATAAATCCAAAATTTAAATTCGGCCTCGTTTCACATTAGTTTGATTGTGAATTTTGGGTCTGCAATGTCAAATGGTGGCATAGTAACAGCAATCACCTTTAATGCTATAGAAGTGTAAGAAAAACTCTGAAAATAGTCTAAACGGAGTTTTAGCTCCCAATTGGTCAACAACTAGTGCCTTAACCCTTGGCTTGGTCTAGTGTTCGTGGTGAAAGTTTAAATCTAGAGTGTCCTCCTCTCAAGTCTAAGTTGAATTAGTCTCTTTGGATTAGTCCGGAGATTTAAATAAAAAAATTAAAAAGTAGTGCCTTAGTCCCCTAACATCTCCATATTGCATGCATTTGTCACCCTCACTTGTCTCTATCTTCTTCCTCATTGAGGAAGTAAACCTCTTTTCATGCCGAGTACTCTATCATCTGTCCAAGCTTGTTCTCTTCTTTTTCACTAATCAAAGCCACACAAAAAAATCATCGAATATCATCATATCAACAAGACCCAAGACAACTATTTCGAAATGTATAGTGTGAATTATATTGGAAAGTATAAAGATATATTCCACTTTTGCAACTCTTAAAATTAGAGTGACAAATAGTTGATTACACTAGCTAGCAATTCGTACTCTTCTCGAAATAGACATCTTGATGACAACATCCATTGAAATTCTATCTGTTATTCAGGGAGCAATATACATGCAATGAAACTTAACTATATAACCAAAAATCTCATTTTTTTTAATTACAGAATAAATATGCTTTGGTGAATGAAAACAGATCAAACCACAATGTGGTAAAAAAATAGCCAACCCTGAAAATAGATCCAACCTGTGTGGTAAAATAGCCAACCCTATAACAACAATTTGGTTTGAGCAAACCTTTGAATACTGATTTATTTTCTAATTTACATTTTGACAATGCCGGACACAGCCCAAAAACAATCCTAATCCCAGCCATACTTGATCAATTAGGCAAATTTGTAAAGAGTTCAAAACAAAATCATTTTACACTATTCACTTTGGGTTGGGGTTCATTTTTTAACTATAACCCAAGCTAAACTAGCTAGACTTGTGGACACTAATAGCCATTCTAGGTGTGTTTCTGAATAAATCAAAATATTAAAAGGGTTATCTAAGCTTTTAACAACTCGAGTCTATAAACACTTGCAGGGGCGCAACAATTGCCCCACAGCACTACCAACCTGAACCAAATGCAGATTCTTGGAAATATAACCATGAAAATAGTGGGTCTATGTAAGACAACTTCGGCACGAGTCCATTCATATGGACATGTTCAAAACAATTATAAAGACACACCATCAAAACAATTATAAAGACACACCATCAAAACAATTATAAAGTTTTAGTCATTTTACTTAGCATAGTATATTTTTTAATTTTCTATTAATTTTGAGTATTCAAAATAGCAAGAGCATGGAAATAAACTAGCAAAATCAGAAAAACACCTCCTGAATACATTCCCCCACAGACATCATCCAGCATCAAAATGGCACAGATTATAGCCAAAAACAAACATTAAATAACTAAATATAAACTATAAAAGAGATATCATATCATATATGATTCACAAGGACATGACTAATTGCAGAAAAATTGAACAACTTGACAACAGACAAATGCCATATCACCAAATATAGCATCGGGATTTAACTAAACAAACAAACATTTCAATTATAATTTTACATTCTATCTAAGTACTCTTTATTAAATCCAAACTTCCAACGCAACTATAATAATAGACTTGTAACAGTACACCAAAAACCTAGTAACTGCAGTTAATCAGAGCATTGCTCCAACACACGATGGTTTTAATCCTCATAAAACAAGCAAATACAACCAAACCAGTATTGTCAACTTTGACATGAATAAAACTAACAGGCTTCAAAAACAAAAGCCATAGAAACAGCATTATTTTATGACGAACAAAATTGAAGCATATTTCTGAGTTAAAAGACTTGTAAATCTAACCTCTACAACATCCATTCAAATTCCCCTTCCTCTGATTACTTATGTCAGAGAAAAATCATCTCTGCTTTGAGCAGTACACATAGATCAAAGCTGCTGCCCCAAAAACAGCCACCGTAGATCCCGCTCCCGCTGCTACAATCGGCCACTGCAACTTAACTTCATGCCTTTCACGCTGTATCCCGTTTAAATCTCTATCGACTATCTCAACAGCTTTTTCATTCAGTGCTTTGATCTTCTTCTCAGTTTCCACTGCTTCCTCGCGCAATCGAATATTCTTCGATTCAAAACCCTTTGCTTTCTCCTCAGATTCTTTAAGTGCCTTCTGCAAACTCAGTTTCTCCGCAGACCAGTCCACTGACTCGTGTTTCTTCTCACCAGCAACCTTCTCCAATTCCTCAACCTTGTTTCTAAAACCCTCAATTTCCCTATCCTTCTCCCCAATCGTATCCCTCAACTCCTCTTCAACCCTAATCCTCTTATTCCTCTCCTCAATTTCCTTCATCTCAAGAACACCAATTCTCTTCTCCAAATCCCTCAACCTTGCCTCACTCTCCGCTTTTACCTTCTTCAACCCCTCCACTTCCTTCACCAAATCCCCAACCCTGGATTCCTTCTCTTTCAAAACCCCCTTCAATTCATCACACTCCTTCTTCAACTCCTCCCCAGCACTCAAATCCGTAACCATATCATGCTGAAGCCTCGCCACCTGAGTCTCAAGCTCTGCCGCCCTAGCGGCAATAGCCTCCGTAGCCTTCACAGCATCCTGCGACTTCTCCGCTTCAGCCTGCAACTCATCAATCTTCTCCCTCATCTCCTCGCCCTTGCTCCTCAATTCCTCAATCTCCGCTGTCAACTTCTTGATTTGCTCCTTCTTCTCATTGTTCTCACTCACCAATTCATCTCTCACACGCTCCAATACCGAGATCTTCGTCACAGATCGCTCCTCATGCTGATCTTCAACACCGTTCGAATCACCATCATCTGCCATGGTTAATTCTGCGGAAAAAAAATCAAAATCTGTAAATCAACCAAAAAATCCACAAATCGGAATCAAAGTCGAAAATCTAGTACATAATTTAACTGCAAACTAAATTAAAAAAACTAAATACTAAATAAACAAATCATAAACTATTTATCAACATCAACAAATCAAAATCTATAAATCAACCTAAAAATCCAAAAATCAGAATCAAAATTCATGAGTGATTACACAAAGTTTTGAAGTATCAACAAAAAATTTCTATTCTAAATTCTGCAAAGAAATAAAATCAAAATCGCAAAAATCAAAATCTGTAAATCAACCAAAAATCCACAAATCGGAATCAAAATCGAAAATCTAGTATGTAGTTTAACACTGCAAACTAAACCAAAACTTCAAAACTAAATATAAACAAACTCTAAACTATTTATCAGCAAATCAAAATCTGTAAATCCACCGAAAATACGCAAATCGGAAGCAAAATCGGAAATCTAGCACATAGTTTAACTCTGCGAACTAAATCGAAAATTCGAAACTAAATAAACAAATTCTAAACTATTTAACAACGATTCATGAATGATTACACAAACTTTTGAAGTATGAATAAACAAATTTCTATGCAAAAATCAGTAAATAAACAGAGAAATTGAAAGTAGTATGGATCGAGAGAAACCGTGATGATGCGAAGTTCAGAGAAAATTGGAGAAGAAAATTCGCAGGAAAATTGGTGGATTTTTTCTGGGAAAGTGATAGAGTAACGAGAACCTTAGTTTATGAAAGGTGTAGAAATAAGAAGGATTAGGGTTTTGAGTGTGGGAGTGAAAAAGTTTTTAACTTGATGGATTTTTTTTTATTTTTTTTTCGTTTGATGGAAATTACCGTTTTGAATATTTGCTTTTTCGGATAAAAGTGAAATTTTTAAAGAGAAACGAAACAAGCGAATGGTTCAGATTCGAAATGCTATTATTCTTCCCCAATAGTGGGTATCGGTATGGTTAGAGTTGTTAAAATGTATCGGCTTTAAACGGATTGATTTGAGTCTGAATTTTTTAAGATTTGGCAAAAAAGTTTTATCGTGGTATAGATCTCAAAATTATTATTCGTGTATGTCTCTAGATAGATTTTGGACCATTCGATTTTAAATGAGATTTTTTAATAATACGAAAAAAGATTATTAATTATATTAATATATATTAAAAGACAAAAATCAAATAAAATAAAGATAAAATTTAGTAAAGTGAGAAAAATTAATGTGTCATCTTGGAGTAATTAAATACAAGATAATTAATATGTCATTTTAGAGTAATTCAATACAGAATTTAATATGATTTTTTAAAATTTTATAATTATACGAGATTAATAGAGTACACACGACCCATACAAACTACCTCTAATAAATAATTGAATTTTTAGAGTTAAACTAAAAAAAATCTTTAAAATTTGGACTCTAACTTAAAAGCTCAAACCTTATAATTTTTTGGGTGGACGGACCGACTTATAAGAATTAGTCCATTTATCAATTTTAGGTATAAATGTGTGTTAATGTATTAGGAAAATGTTTATTTTTAAGAAAGTGCGAAAGGAAGAAACATAAGAACTATTT